ACATCAAGTCCACAGTGCAGACAGCAGAACAGCCACATCTGGCCCCTGCCCTGGGCCGCAGCCCAGCTCCAGCAGAAAGGACTTGGGTCTCCATGCTGGGCGTCGCAGCCTCTCCTCCTCTTTGCCCTCCCAGCCCATACCTGGGCAGCGGAGGACGGGCAAGGGCACAGGGCGGCCCCTCTGAACCAGACTCCCCGAGGCCACCTGGACACCGTGGCAACATGGGCAGGAACCGGCTTCCATGGCAACTGGCGTCCAGGGAGGCGCTGCCTGGCAACGGGGCCATGGCCCCCCCAGCACGCCGTACTGGCCACACTTTCCGCCCTCGAGGCCGGGAGTTCCGGCTTCCAGCCAGTGCCCCCGCCACAGCCGCAGCCGCGCCCTGTCCTGCACGACATTCCGGAGCCTGGACCTGAGGCGAACCCCCATGCCCACCCCAATCCAGGACACCGCTTGGCAGGGTGCTTGGCCTTTGTTAGCGTATCTGACCCTGTGAGTAGGGGACCCCAGGGCTGGGGATCCAGGACCCCGTCTCTCCAAGAGTCCCCCACCTTTTCGGGCTCAGGGCGATTGGCAAGGACCACAGGGAGGGGTGAGAGGAGCTGGGGGAGGAGGGGCTCCAGGGCTGACAGAGAGCAGCAGCCTTCCCTGGCACAGGTAGGGAGAGGGGCGGGGGCATCAGGGAGCTCAGGGTTTCCAGGCCAAGGAGGATGGTGCCCAGGGGCAAGGGTGATGGGAGGACACTGGGCCACCCAGGGTGTCCCGGGCGCCCCCTCGGGGCCACTGGGGAATCTCATCTGGGCCTGGGCACCTATGTTGGGACCTAAGGACCCTGCCCTGCTGTTCGCCCAGGAATCCAGTGTTGTCTTCCTTATTACAGGGGCCACTCGTCTCCATGAAGACCTTTCCCTCCTCAGCATCCTGGCCCCTGTGGGGCACCTAGCAGGCTGGGGACACATGGAGCAGGTGCAGCCCCCACCCCACTCAGGGATGCAGAGAGCAGGGGGTAGTCCCCGCCCCACTCACTCAGGGACCCGGAGAGCAGGGGGCAGTCCCCGCCCCACTCACTCAGGGACACAGAGAGCAGGGGGCAGCCCCCGCCCCACTCACTCAGGGACACAGAGAGCAGGGGGCAGCCCCCGCCCCACTCACTCAGGGACACAGAGAGCAGGGGGCAGCCCCCGCCCCACTCACTCAGGGACACAGAGAGCAAGGGGCAGTCCCCGCCCCTGCTGCTCAGGACCTCCTCCACCCCACCCCAGGGCCACCTCGCCTCAGTGCTCCTCCAAGAGGCCTTCCTTAGCCCCCATCCCAAGTTGCCCCATGGGGTCTCTCAGCTCAGCACCTCCTGAGACCCACGACATTCCAGCAAAGAATGAAAAGGGCACAGGCTAGGAGAGGGTCCTAGAGGCTGCTGCCACCCTCTGGCAGCTAAACAGCCAGCCTCTGGCAGCCAGGACCAGGTGTCCAGCCGCCTCTGCTGGGGAGGCCCCATGTGGCACCGAGAACAGGAGAGAGGTCATCTGCAGACAAGATATTTCGAGACACTTGAGGTGGAGAGTGGAGGCTGACGTAGCAGGACAGCCTGGCAGGAAGAAGGCAAGCGGCAGCCAAGCAGTGGCCTCGTCACTGGTGTGAGGAGACACGTGCTGCGAACAAGCATGGCAGGACAGCAGTGGGAGCTGGTACTGTCCCCACTCCAGACGGCAGCCCTGCAGCCTGAGATGCCGCCTGGAGTCAGGAGGACTCCCTCCCAAGACCTGGGTGTCCGGCTTCCTCAAGTTAAAAAGGAGAGAGGAGTGCCCGGCAGCTCTGCCTGCCTCCCCTATAAACAGGGATCGAAAAGAAGGAAAAGCCAGACATTTGAGCACTGAGTCTCATGGGAAGTTCCAAGACTAAACAAAACAGAACCACAAGAGAGAAAATGCAGAAAGAAAAGATTTGCCTTCCCCCAAACCCACTTTATCCGTAAGAGCAGAACAGAATTCTCTGGAACAAGAAGAGGGGAGCTTGGGGAACGATGGAGATGTCTTGGAAATGAAAAACAGGACTGCTAAAATCCAAAACCAATTTTTAATTTTTATTTATTTATTTGTTTTGACACAGAGGCTGGCTCTGTTGCCCAGGCTGGAGTGCAGTGACACAATCTCGGCTCACTGCAACCTCCGCTTCCTGAGTTCAAGCCGTTCTCCTGCCTCAGCCTCCTGAGTAGCTGGGATTACAGCCGCCCACCACCACGTCCAGCTAACTTTTGTATTTGTAGTAGAGACTGGGTTTCATCATGTTGGCCAAGCTGGTCTGGAACTTCCGACCTCAAGTGATCTGCCTGCCTCAGCCTCCCAAAGTGCTGGGACTATAGGTGTGAGCCACTATGTCCAGCCCCAAAACCAATTTTTTAAAAAGCAGAGAAAGAGTGTGTGTGTGTTTGGATTCAGGGAAGTCTATCTACAAGCAAAGGTGGAAAGAAGGACTCACAGGATCAATTCAAAAGGCCCAACATCTGACTGACAGGAGTTCCAGAATGAGCAGGAAATGAGAAGAAATGTTATCAAAGAAATATCAGGTCTCGAGGTAGAATGTGTTCACCAAGCACCCAGCGCTGTGAGGAAGGAATCACCCACAGTTGGTGTGACCCCCAGAGGTGCAGGGATCAGAGGGGACCCTACAGGCTTCCGGGGAGAAGGCCGGCGGCCCGGCCAGCTCTCACTACCAAGGACCACGACCGGCCTTCCAGTCCTGTGGGAAAACGCCCTTGGCCCCGATTCTCTCCCCAGCCCGATGTCCAGCAGGCACGAGGTCAGGGTAAGATGCTTGTAGGCCTGTGAGGCCTCTCAGTGTCTCCTCCCATGTCACAGCCCACTCCAAAACTCAGCGGTACAACAACCATGGCAGCCCGGGGCTCGGCAGTACATGGCCAGCAACTTGGCTGCCATATGGGCCGGTTCTCTGGGGCTTGTCCACCCATCTTCAGACAGCTGGGGACCGGCTGGGCTGACAGAAGCCTCTCCTGCCCCATGGCCTCTCATCCTGCAGCCCAGCCCAGGCCTCCTGCAGAGAGGACAGTCCCCACAGCCAAGCAAGAGAGGTCCAGGCCCAGCGCACAAGTGTCGTGCCACCCTCTACCCACAGCAGCTTAGGAGCATCCCGTTGGCCAAGTGCATCCAAGGCCGGCCCAGAGCCCGGGGTGGAGACCAGGACCCGCCTTTTGATGTAGGAGGCGAAGTCACCTTGCAGCAGGGCCAGGACACCGAGAGAGCAGGGAACGGGGCTGTTCCTACCACACGAGGACTTCTCCAAGCCAGCTTTCTGAGGGTTACCTGAGGGCTGAGGGGTTCAAGAAGGAAGACACAGGCACTGGGACTCAGGGGCAGTGAGGGGCAGCGGGGCCGATGGCGTGAGGAGCACCAGGGAGCAGGAGGGAACGGGCCTGGGGCGTGAATCCGGCCCCACGGTTGCATGAGTGCTCTTCAGCCGCCCAAATCCTGTCCCACCGGTAACAGCGTGGCCTTCGGCAGGTGACTAAAGGGCTTCCTGCTTCAGCTTCCGCACCCGTAAACAGAGGGTAACAATGGCATGCACTGTATCTGGCATAAAGTAAGTGTTCAATACATAGCTAGAAAAGAATGTTTTAAAACCTCAGGGATACATTAGGTGAAAAGAAAAGCTGGGCTACAGGATGACCTCTTCAGTGGGAACGAGGGGCAGGGGATGGCAGCCCACCTCCAGGAGCTTAAAGAGGAGGCTCCTGTCCGGTGGGAAAGTCTTGGACACCATTTTTATTGTTTGATATTTTTTGAATCCACACTGTGTGTGAGAGTGTGTGTGTGTGTGTGTGTGTGTGTATTATCTGTTTTACATCTTAAGAAAAATAACCAGGCTGGGTGCAGTGGCTCACGTCCGTAATTCCAACATTTTCAGACGCTGAGGCAAGAGGATTGCTTGAGGCCAGGAGTTTGAGACCAGCCTGGGCAACACAGTGAGGCCCCCATCTCTACAAAAAAATTTAAAAATTAGCCGGGCATGGTTGCACACACCTGTAGTCCTAGCTACTTGGGAGGCTGAGGTGGGAGGATTGCCTGAGCCCAGGAATTGGAGGCTGCAATGAGACATCATTGTGTCACTGCGCTCCAGCCTGGGTGACAGAGCAAGGCCCCTTCCCATAAAAAGAAAGAAAAAAACTCGCATCGTGGGTCGGTGGGTCAGAGGCAGTGAGGTCATCAGGCGGGACAACTTCAGAACCAGGTGAGAGGGGCCCATTGTGACCTCCCTGGCTGCACCCAGGCCTTTGTGACTGTTGCCTGGGGCAGCCTGGGAGCCAATGGGTCACCCAGAGCCCTCAGTAAGAGGGTGGCAGGTTGGGCCAGGCCAGAGCCTGGACCTGGGGTCAGGAAGGGGTTGCAGGGAGGGATGGAGGGGCTGAAAACTTTGGGCCCCTGTGGCCACCCCCACCCCCAGTGTCCCCCAGCCCCAGCCTCCAGCAGCCATGGAGAATGCCTGGACCAGCCCTGCCAGGGATTTGCAGGGTGGCCCTGCCTGGGCCCCATCTCCTCTGCTCACTCAGTGCAGTCCCAGAGACCTTTCCCAGTCCCAGGGGCAGGGGGCAGGGGGGCCAGAGTGGAGGGCGAGGCTCCTGGGCTCTTTCTGTCCAGCCAGGAGCAGAGAGCGAGAGACCCTGAGGGGCCGAGACAAGGAGACGTGGAGCCAGGGCTTGGGTGGGGCTGGCCCCTGCACCCAGGGTCGAACCAGGGGGCTCCCAGGCAGGGGGAATCCACTGGTTCAGAGCCCAGACCCTGCCCATGCCCACCCCTGTCACCAGAGGGAGGGGCCCTGGCCTCTGCAGAGCCGCTGGGCTCTGCAGAACAGTCCTTCCTGCAGCTAGAGCAGGAGAACCACAGCCTGGTGAGCACCCCACCCACCGCCTGGTACCCCTGCCCCAGCCCCAGCCCCAGGAGCGGCCATAACAGGCAGTCCCCTCTCTCTGCCCCCAACCCCAGAAAAGGCAGAACCAGGACCTTCGAGAGCAGCTGGGGGCCCTCCTAGGGCCGGGGCAGCAGTTCCTGCCCCTGTGTCCCGAACACTCAAGCTGCACTGCTCTGGCCTGGGTAAGTACAGGGCCCAGGGACCCCATGCAGCCAACGCCCCACTAGCCCACAGCTTTGGAGCTGATCTGGGGGCTCTCCCACAGCCCCCTGACCCAGCTGGCACGCAGCCCTTGGGGAACAGGGCACCTCTGCAGCTGCTGCGGCGGGAGCTGTGCCAGGAGCAAGAGGCTTTCGTGCAGCAGTCCCAGGTGGGCCTGGGGGGGTTCAGTGGGGAGGAACCTTCGTGCAGCAGGCCGGTGGGCCTGGGGGAGGGCTGTGGGGGAGGAACCCTCGTGCAGCAGGCCGGTGGGCCCGGCAGGGAGGTACCGGCCACCCTGCTGATGCCGCCCAAGCCCACCCTTGGCCCCACCCTCAGAACGAGCTGCAGCAGATCCGCCTGTGCTTTGAGAGGAAGAAGATGGTCATCACAGAGGTGCCCGCCTGGCTGAGGGGGAGGGATGCTGGGGGCCCACCCAGTGGGTCTTGCTCCTCAGGCGTGACCCCACTCCCCCCAGGTGTGGGACAGCGTGGCTGAGATGCACATGGCCCTGAACAACCAGGCCACCGGCCTCCTGGTAGGTCCCCACAGGACAGCACCCGGAAGGACAGGGCCGGACAGGCGAGAGACCGGGGAGGGTGGGGCCGGGGCCTGCTGTGCTTACCTCCTCTGGCCCCCAGAACCTCAAGAAGGACATCCGGGGTGTGCTGGACCAGATGGAGGATATCCAGCTGGAGATACTCAGGTGACGAGGGCGCAGGTGCCAGGCCGGCTGAGCAAGGTCTCGGAAGGGGTCCTGGTCAGGACAGGGCAGACCCATCCTTGACCCCCGACCTCCATAGCACCGAGACAGGGGGTGGGTGCCAGGCTGGGGGTGGAGGGCATGCGATCCTGACCGTGAGGCCCCTGCAGGGAGCGGGCCCAGTGCCGCACTCGAGCCAGGAAGGAGCAGCAGATGGTGAGCATGGCAGTGAGCCCCCCACGCCCCACTCTGGGTCTGGACACCAGCCTCCCCACCCAGGGCCCTACTTGGGCGAGGGGGAGAAATGGGCTCCAGGAGGGCGGCCCAGGGCGGGGGCATCCGAAAAGAGGCTGCAGGAGCCTGTCCAGAAGGAAGGGGCCGGGGTTGCGGTGGGGGGACCCCTGTCTGAGGAGGGTTTCCCAAAGCCAGGGATCCCTGCCCTCAGCCTGGACCCTCGGGGTGGGCTCTGATCCAGCCCCTCCCCGACAGAAAGGGAGGCCAAAGCTGGGAAGCTCCAAGAGCCTGGCAGGCCAGCTCTGGTAGGTGACTGCGCGGCAGAGACCAGCCCCCAGGCCCCCCGCGCGCCCCTGCCCCTGACCACCGCCGCCCGCAGGCTGCTGACCCTGAGGCTGCTGCTGGGCACCTTGCTGGTCTGGACTGCTGCCTACGTGTACGTGGTGAACCCCACGCCCTTCGAGGGGCTGGTGCCGCCCCTGCTGAGCCGTGCCACCGTCTGGAAGCTCCGGGCCCTGCTGGACCCCTTCCTGCGCCTCGAGGTGGACGGCTTCCTGCCCTTCTAGGCCGGAAGCCCAACGGCCCCAGCGAGGAGGCCAGGCGACCAGCACTGCCCCGGATGCCCAGTGGCCGCGCCGGCCCCCTGCACATAGCACCACTGTGCACCGTCCCTGCCAGGAGCTGCAGAGAAGGGTGGAGGCGGGGTCTGTCCTGAGGGCTGGGCCTGTGGCTGGACATAGAGTCATGACATATGTGGCCGGTGAGCATGTCTCTGTGGAAATTGGGGGAGGGACACCGGGTGACCCAGCAGCGAGGGTCCGTCAGGGTGGAGACCCCAGCCTCAGGGCTGGCTTCCCACCCCACATCCCACCTGCCATCCAGAAGGCAGCCCCTCTGCACAGGGCTCTGACTCCTAAGGCGTCTTAGGAAGGTCTCCGCTGAAAGGCAACAGCAGTGAGGACCGGGAGATCCTCAGGTCTTGCCCCCTGGGCCAGGCCTTCCCGGAGACCTCAAAGGTCAGGTTTTCAGTGCTGACCCTGCTGATCCACTGACCTCATGCCCCTCATGCAACTCCCCTCCCTGCCTAGCCGCCACCCGCCCTGCCCAGCTCCTGTCACCTCCCCAACCCAGGGCCCTGTCCGGTACAGGGGGCCACACTGGTAGACAGAGCTGTGGAGATCAACACCAAACATTTTATTTGGGGAATTAATTAGCAGGGGTGCCCTTAAGAACAACAGAGAAGAGTTTTGCGGCTTTCTCGTCCCCAAAGGGGAGAAATAGAGCCGCAGCCCAGGGTGCACCCAGGGACCGGGACCCTGTGCCGGAGAAGGGCTGGCCGGAGTGCCACCCTGCTGTAGGCCGTACCACTGCTGGAGGACACAGGGCTTGGGCCTCGGGCCCTCTGACCTCCCAGCAGCATCGTCTCTGGGTGCAGGCAGCCCCAGTGGGGCCCAGGCAGAGCTGGCCATGACTATAGGACCTTGGTGGCAGGCAGGGGCCAGTGGCTCACCAGGCTGGCAGCTCCACGAAGTTAAGGCATCTGTTCATGTGTCAGGGGAAGGGCAGGAGGAGTGCAGAGACCTTCGGGGGCAACCTGAGACCCCCCCAACCCAGCCCAACCCACGGAGGCCTGGGCTCCCCGAGGAGGAAGTGGCTTAGTCTAAAGTGCTTGGTTGGACAGGGAGGCTGGGCAAAGGTCGTGCTGGTCCCCACAGCTCTGGGGCTGCCCCCTGTGGGGTGCTGGACCCCCTGCAGCAGGTGAGGGACTTCCTGAGGTCATGTGGACACAGGGTCTCGGGCCCTGGCAGGCTGGGAGTCTGTCAAGCTGTGGCTGGTGGAGCAGAGAGCCCAGCCCACCCCCAGCCCTGCCCGAGGGTCCATGGTAGTCTGACCTCCTGGGTCCCCAGCTGGGCTGTCCCGGGCCCCAGAGCTGCCTACTTGTCATCCTGCTAGGGCCCGGAGAGGCTGGGGAAAAGACTGGAGGCAGCCAAGTGCAGGCGGCACATAGCCCCGCGTGGGGCTGCCCCGGCGGCCGGGCTCCAGGGGGCCCGCAGTGGTGGGCGGTCCTCTGGGCGGCCAAGGTGGCACAGGTGCAGCCCAGGAGGCACCCAAGGCTGGCCACGCCGCCCCCATCCACGGGTGCAGGTGCCAATCCGCCCCCTGTGGGCCGCGGCGTCCATGAGAGAGAAGCAGAAAGGTGGAGGTCAGCTTCAGGGCCCTACAGCCCGCACGCCTCCCGCGCTGGACAGCCCCAGCCCAGGCTGTCTCAGCCCCGAACAGCTGCGCATCCCTCACACTCCCTCAACCCTGCCCCTGGGATTTGGCAGGCAGGAGAGTTCCAACAGGTTCAGCAGCCCCCACAGGGCCCTGAGCCAGCAGGTGGCCCCTATGCATCCCCATTTCATCTCCCCAAGCACTTGGGTTCCTGGGATTCCCCTGTGGGTAGCGGCAGACCCAAATCTTTCCCGTAAACACCCTGTCACTGCCAGAACTGACGCAGACCCAAGGCGAGAGACCCTCACACTTCCCAGCCACAGACCATTGGCTGCCCCCTCCTCGCAGGCCTCTGAGTTGGCCCAAGTCAGCAGAAATGCCCCCGAGGAACCCACCTACCCCTGCACACCAGACAGCAGCCACCCCCTCTTCTGGGGCCTGGCCCCTGCCTTCCCCTAACCTGGGTGTCCTGCAGCAACAGCCCTGGCCTTGCCCAAGGAAAGAATCCAAATAACTCTTTTTCTTTTTTTTAATAAAATTATAGATATATAGATGTAGATATAAAAACATAAAACAGACACAACGCAAGCGGACGCTGTCGTGTGCTTACTCTCAGGTCCCTGACACCAAAGGAAGCACAGACCCCTCCCCAGTGTGCTTTCCCGCGGCGCAAGCACCGCAGCCAGGCCAGGGCTGGGGACGTGGCATGCCTTGGGGCAGGGATTCTCCAGTTTGGCAGGGAGGGCCTGAGGGCTGGGGAGGGGGCTCTGGGTGTCACTGGCCCCCTGTGGCAGCATCACCCCCGTGCCTGCTCCCGCCTGCCCCCCGTCGCCTCCCACAAGAGCATGAAGCAAAGGTTAAGGCTTTGATGAAAGGGACAGCGGCGGCCGGAGCACTGACACATCAGACACGGTGCGGCAGCACAGCACACAGACACGGGACACAAGCCCGCCCGCCGGGCAACACAGGACACATGGAGCCGGGCCCCCTGCCACAGCTGGCTGGCTGGCCGTCTGTCCACCTATCCACCACCACCCAGAGCAGGCCAGGGCAGAAGCACTGGCCTTGCCAAGCTACAAGCTTCCAGCGGGGTCCATGAAAGGCAACGCGTTAGTTAGGAGTAGCCTGGTGGGGGACACTCGGTCCTGGAGCCCACAGGCTGTGTTGGAAGGAAGGTGGGGGCTCTGGATGCCTCTGTCCATCTCTGGGACCCGTCCGTAAGGGGGCCGTTGGGGGCTGGCCTGGCGATGATCTGGGGTGCATGGGTGATGGGAGTGGGCCAAGCTTGGCTGAGAGAGGGTGCCCCAAAGAGGCTGACTGGGGCCCCTCACTGCCCCAGCCATGGGACGGGCCCAGACACAGAACAGCCCAGTGGCCCTTGGCCCAGTGAGCCGACTTCCCCATGGGCAGATGAGTGGACGGGCAGGCAGAGCGCTTGGGGCAAGTTGTGGAGGCGTGGCACTCTCTCCTGCTGATGGGTCCACACCAGGTTGGGGTGGTTCTCTGTCCCTGGGGCAGAGAAGTCGGTGGGGGGGAGCACGCTGCGGGGTCCTGGTCCCCATGGCACCACGGCAGATGGGTGGCAGTCAGTCCTCACACCGAGATCTCGTACGTGGTCCCACCCACGCCGGATACCTTCTTAACCAGCGTGTGCCTCGTAGGGCTGGCAGAGGGCCCTGAGGGGCCGGTGGCAGGTCCCAGCCGGGCCAGGCCCGGGGACTGCCCATTAAGCTTACTTGGGGGAGTCTTCAGCTGAGGGTGGTCCCTGCATCAAAACAAGCACATACACGCATGCACACGGTGAACACAGGAACACATGGGGACAGAGGACAGAGGAGGCAGCAGGACAGAGACGACGCAGACGTGGACTAGTGTAGCCGGGTCGTGGGGCCCCAGGCAGTCCCTGCCCTCTGGGCTCGGAGGGTTCACCTGGAAAGCAGGCGGGAGATGCAGAGCCTGCCTGGGGAGTGGCTGTGCCGTCACAGGACAGACAGATGTCACAACTGCCACCACCCTCCCGGGCCCCTGGGTCCCTCCTAGGCAGCACTGGCCCCAGAGAGCATGGGGCAGCCAGGTGGACAGTGACCGGAGCCCCTGCCCTGCCCTGCACTGGGAGCCTGGTCACTCTGCCTGGCCTCATTCCTGCTCTCTCTCAGGAAAACGAGGGGCTGCCCTCCTGCCCACCAGCGCTGACCAACAGTAGCTCCACCCTTGCCGCTTAAACCTTCTTGAGGCGAGAGCCCTTTGTCCCAGGGCTGCGATCCCTGCCTGGCTGCAATGCTGCCCACTTCTAGGTCTCAGGCTCCCCATTCATCACTGCCAATGGCAGCCTCCTCCCCAACTCCACAAAAGCTGAACAGACTCCCACGCTGTGGGGTAGGGGAGGTCTGCTCAGGGCTGGATGGACTGCTGTGCCCTCAGCCCCTTTGTGGCCAAGTGGCCTGGGCTGGGCTGGGCTCTCCCCCTGGGGACGCATCTGCTGACAGGAAACAGCTGAGCCTGTGCTTGAGGTTTCCAGGCCTGGACCGGGCGACAGACACCATGAGGACACCATGCACCACGGCCTGGGTCCTGGCCCCAGCAGGTGTGCAGTTCTCCTACCTGGGCCTGGGCCTGCGCGCCAGCTGACCCCGCTGTCTCAGTTACCAACCTGCTGGTTGCCTGGAGCCAGCCTGCTTTATCCAATCCTCAGTTTCCCCACCTACGAGCAGGGAAACCCCTGCTTCCTAGAACCTATGTCCCACAGGGAGGGCCAGGGACCGGTCACCCAGGGTGGCACATTCTGCGGCTACGTAATGTCCTCAGCCCCAGCCTCCTAGAGATGCAGCAAAGCAGGTCCAGGAGAGGCCCAGGTGGACAGGTGACCCAGGAAGCCAGAGCCACAGCCTAAAGGAGGCCCAGGCTGCCGCATGACACCGGCCCCAAGGAGAAAGCCCCCACGGCCTCCCACATGCTGGGTCTACGCCAGCTCTGGGGGAACGAGTTGTTGGGATGAGGACACAAATTCTCATACCCTGTCCCCAGAGCGTGCCCAGGACATCCTCAGAGCTGGGCCACACGGGCTAGCCAGGGCCTTCAAGGCAGGGCGAGGCGCATCCTCCCTGTCCCGACCCCAGAGAAAAACTCAGGCCCCTGGGATGACCTATGAGTGCCCAGCCAAGAGGGGCCCTGCAGATGGCTGGACAGCTGCCCTGTGCCAGGAAGCCCACCCGCTGCTCTCTCTCAGGAAAACGAGGGGCTGCCCTCCTGCCCACCAGCGCTGACCAACAGTAGCTCCACCCTTGCCGCTTAAACCTTCTTGAGGCGAGAGCCCTTTGTCCCAGGGCTGCGATCCCTGCCTGGCTGCAATGCTGCCCACTTCTAGGTCTCAGGCTCCCCATTCATCACTGCCAATGGCAGCCTCCTCCCCAACTCCACAAAAGCTGAACAGACTCCCACGCTGTGGGGTAGGGGAGGTCTGCTCAGGGCTGGATGGACTGCTGTGCCCTCAGCCCCTTTGTGGCCAAGTGGCCTGGGCTGGGCTGGGCTCTC